AGAGAGAGAGAGAGAGAGAGAGAGAGAGAGAGAGAGAGAGAGAGAGAGAGAGAGAGAGAGAGAGAGAGAGAGAGAGAGAGAGAGGGAAGGGGCTGATTAGCGAAGTGAGTGTGACGGAGTATGTGAATGCAATTTGGAGGCGTAAGTTGGGCGGCAGCTGATGTGATGTGTTTTTCGTGTGTGTGTGTGTGACTTAGAGTAGAATTAAAGGACACTGTTCGGCGCCTACTGAGAGGGGGAAGAGGGGGAGGGGGGGGGGAAGAGGAGGGGTAAGGGAACGAGGTCGTTGAAGGTCTGACACGCGGTCTTAGTGTGACGGAGTATGTCAATGCAGCAGTTTGGAGGGGAACGCTCTGCTTCAGTTGGTGTGATTTGTGTGCGTGTGTGTGTGTGTGAGTGCGGTATGAGAAAGAAACAGCATAATTTGGCTTCGTGATTAAGGGAGTTGTGTAGAAGCTTTGGACCGTGTAACAACTGTGTCGGTCTGGGAAAGAAACGTCGTAATGTGGCTTCGAGTAGATGCGGTTTTGTGGGGTTGCGTAGTCATCGAATTGCACGTGAGGAATGCGACTTCACATGGCCTTCTATGAAACTGTTTCACGTAGGCTTGTTTGACATGTTGCCTACCGATTTCACCGCAAATGCCGTTCGGCTGAAGCACACGACGCACGTCTATTAGAGGACTGAACGATGGGTTGAGGGTACGAATTGTCACGGTTGAAGGCGCGAACTTAACCGATGAGAAATGAACAGTGCAGTTAACTGGGAGTGAAAGGAAGAGCCAGACGCGCGCGCGTCACACACGGAGCGAGCGAGCGAGAGAGAGAGAGAGAGAGAGAGAGAGAGAGAGAGAGAGAGAGACAGATGTTTGTGTCTGTGAGAGGTGTTTTTGTGTGTTAAGGTGTTTTTTTTTTTTTTTTTTTGTGTGTGTGTGTGTGTGTGTGAGAGAGAGAGAGAGAGAGAGAGAGAGAGAGAGAGAGAGAGAGAGAGAGAGACCTCGTAGTGAAAAGTTTGTGTTGATCAGATCTGTAATCAGGCGTAACTAATCAGGTAAGAATACGGCCAGAAAAAAAGGGGATGAATGGGACCTTTGAGACGAGATGGGGTGGTGATGATGATGGCTGCTGCTGCCGATCAGCAGCATGATCAGGAATGATACGAGTCCCAATGATGAGGAATGATGGAGAAGTACGAGTCTTGACAATGGCGGCATTGATCCAGCATCCTTTGCCCGCTTTTTGTACGGAATAGGTCGCAGGATTTGCCCGCTTTTGGTACGGAATAGGTCGCAGGATATTATGACGGGTAAGCTATTGACCGTGTGGTCCGAGATACGCGGCGGAGTGAAGTCTCGACTTTATTGAGAGCATTCACTACATAGAACAGTACATACGTACGCCGTACGGGAACAGAACATAAGCGGTTTTTAAGGTTTTAGTTTATCCTATCTGTAGTGATTGGTCAGATAATGCGCGCACAGCAGTGGACAGCCAGGGGCAGGTCCACTAGCAGCGGCGAGTTTCCTGAACGCCCGAGTCTGGACGTGTTTGTGGAGCTTTGCAGTTGAGGAAACTAAAACGCAATTTTCTGCACGTCTCCGCAAACACGTCCAGATTCGCGCGTTGAGCACACCCAACTCTGCTATAGTGGGACTTGGCCTCAGAGGAGAAGCAGAGGAAATTATCGGAGAAGGAATCGGTGAAGCGATGGGATAGGAAATCGGTACTTCCTTTTCTCCTGCTTTTTCGCTCCTTGAATGTTCAGAGAACCGACTTCAGGCAACGAGAAGAACCGTGAGCACAGACAAACACCGTGAGCTGGCAGATGCTTCCCGCCAAGGTGGTTGTTAAACTTGGCCACCAGATGTGACGGTCAAACGGTGACTACGTCGTACACTTGCAACAGACAGTTTAAGGAAAACGTAAGGTGGAGGGTGAATTTCAAATAAACCCCACTACACTTCACCTTTCTCTCTCTGAACCCTGAACAGACAGATGGTGAACTGCGAATTTCAATTCAAATGAATGAGAGCCGGATGTTGCTAATGCAAGTAGAATGTCGACGACGCCACGCTTCGGTGTTGAGAAGAGGGGTCGTTTAGCCCGTACTGCAGCTGCGAGATGCGTGCGTGCTTCACGTGCGTGCCTGCGTGTGTGGGTTTTGTCAGGTTCGATATATGCCTCCACAAATGAATGCATATGACTGTGCCAGACTGTTTCGTCGGAGTTTTTTCACAGACTCATCAGTCAGTCAGGAGGTTTGAACCCCGACAGTCTGCCCAGGATGCATTTGCCACGTCGACCAGGGTTAGCCATACCCCTGAGTCAATGTCCCGTGGTCCCCTGACCCCGGCCTGGGAGGGGCCAAAAAAAAAAAGAAAAAGAAAAAGAAAAAATAAAAAAAAATATGGGGGGTATGCAGCAGAAGCCTGCACCCCCTGGGCGAAACTGCAAAAATGCAGTTTTGGCCCCACCTTGGACCCCCCCCCCCCCCCCCCCCCCCCCCCCCCCCCCCCCCCCCCCCCCCCCCCCCCCCCGGGTTTACACCCTCCCCTGGTGAGCCCGGGGTGGCCCCACCTGACAAAAGTGGTTGACTTCACTCACACCAAACCTGCAGTCCTAGCAGACTGTCGGTCCAAACCCTGGTCAAGAACGGCCGTAAGTCTAAGAAACTGATCTGTCACAGCTGTAAAACACACTCCACATACTTTGTGTGTGTGTGATGTCTGTTGTCATGCTCCCTGCTACAGAACTTCACAGAAAAAAAAGCACGACTCTGTGTGCGTTGTCATATTGGCTATTGGCTATACACTAAAAAAAAGCATGAGTGCGCTAGACTGTTTCGTGTGTGTGTGTGTGTGTGTGTGTGTGTGTGTGTGTGTGTGTGTGTGTGTGTGTGTGTGTGTGTGTGTGATGATGTGTGTGTGTGTGTGCGTGTGTGTGTGTGCGTGTGGGTGTGAGTGTGGGTGTATGCGCTCGAGATGCACAGACAACGGCATGACTGAGACAGACCCATTGTCGGACTTTTCACCGACTCGCCAGGTGTGTGTGTGTGGTGGGGGAGAGGGAAGGTGGGTGTCACGGAACAGCCTGTGTTTTGTGGTTTGTGTTTTATGCGTGTCTGTGAGTGTTCGTGCGCAGACAAGAGAAATGACTGCTACCGATGCTTTCGTTGGACTTCCACCAGCTCGTCAGGGATGGAAGTGTCGGGGGGGGCCAGGAGGGGGGTGGGCGAGGGAAGTTGGGTGTTGCTAAAAATAGACCATGCGTCTGTGGAAACCCTTGTGCTACTGACGGAGCAAGGGGGAAGTATAGTCATTGGGCCTCGCTCCGCTACTCTCGAAATGTGCAAACAACATGAGAGTGAAACTCCCGCTAGAATGTCGAAAGATACACAGCCATTATTCTTTTCTGTCTTTTGTACATGTCGAGAGTAGTGGAGCGAGGCCCATTGATCGGAAGGATAAGGAGGGTGGAAATATATGGAAGTTAGGGGTTTTATTGCAGTCATCCCTCCATCCTTACCCTTCTCCTGTCTTTCCCACGATGAATAATGGGAAACCAAGACAAGATTCACAAGAATAGATTTCTCTCCGGGGGGTGGGTGGAGGGGGGGATTGGGCCTTGCTCCACTGCTGTCCAAACAAATATGCAAAATGAGAATGAACCTTCTGCTAGAACATGGAAATATACACTGCCATTTATTTATTTTTTTGTCTCTTGTGCATCTGGTGATTTGATTAGTCGAGCGTGAGACAATATATGATGCCTGCCAACGCCTGCCAATCAGGAGTGAGCTGCAGCAGATGCGCAGTACTCTCACACTAAAGCCAGGTGCATTCCATTAAAAAAAAAAAAAAAAAAAAAAACCAGGTGCATGATTGGCACAGCTTGTTTCTTCAGCGTATGTTGTGTAGACAGGGCAACTTGCCTTTTTTTTTTTACCTGGTTAGAAATCCTAAATCTTTTAAGGCGGCAGGCCAACTTTGCCTTTTGAAGTCGGAGCCGTAATAAATGATATTCAAATATCAATAAAATGATATTCAAATATCAATAAATGATAATCATATCAATGGGGAACTCGCTGCCCGACCTATGGATGAATCGTGCGTTCACACGGTTGATCAGCCAACCCACCTCTTTGGGCGGTTCAGACAGATTTGCCACTGTCTTCACCCGAATAGAACGCCCCGTAATTATAGCTGCATTTAGACTGAAAGTCGCCCCAAATACAGCTATAATGATGGGGCGTTCTGTTCGGGTGAAGACGGTAGCTCCACTTTGGGCGGTTTAGACAAATTTCGCTAGCTTGACATTCAGTCGATCTCTCTGCGCTCCAATGGGGCAACTCAGCCACCAGAGGCAAGGTCCCACTATCAGCCACCAGAGGCAAGGTCCCACTATCAAACAGGATTGGATTGGAGGTCTGAATCTGGACGTGTTTGCGGAGAGGTGCACAAACTCACCATAGATCTGCTGTTCTGAATCTCTGTGTAAAACAAGTCCATATGCAAAACACGTCCAGATGCAGGCGGTTAATCCAATCCGCTTTGCAAGTGCGACCTCGCCCCAGGCAGGAGAGTGCGCCTCTGTACGGCACCTGTCTTCATTGGAATATCGACAACGCCTTGTTGTAATACCCTGGAAAAGCCACGCTGAACTGCGGGACAATCAATTCCGAGCGACCGACCGCTCTGAACTGCTGAATGTACTTCATGATTGGAGATTGTATTGTATCGAAGAGGTTTCAGTCTCTGGCTCTGTTTCATATATGTATGTAAAATTGTTAATCTGTCCATCGCATTGTATGTAAAATTGTAAATCTATCCTTCACATGACATTGTGTGTAACCGTTGCATTCAGTCACCAAGCATCTCTTTCCAGATGTAGAAACTTTTTTGTTCCCTGGATTGTTTTCACATCCGGCAAATTTCCAGGACAAGTTGTTGCACCACATCCGGCAAATTTTTTCGTCCGTCAGTTTCTTGTTGCTAAACTCAGCAGCAGGCGGCTTGGGCGCTAGGAGCGCTCCCGTTGTGCGCCCTATCCCTATGTCTGCTCCTGTGACTTTGACGCCGTTGGAGGACCATCAACTCCTGTGTGGGTTCTCGACGGATTCACCCACTCGGACATCGGGACGTGGTGCGCCTTTGTGCGCCCTTTGTGACTATGCTGACCAGTTTCGCCCGTTTGCTCTGCCGGTTGCCACTTACCAATTACCTGTTGATCCCTAGATTGGGAATGGATTCACCCACTCGAACATCGGGACGTGGTGTCCCTTTTCCACTTTTTGGCTAGGGTGGGTTCACCCACTCGGACATTGGGACCTGGTGCCGATTTTCCAATTTTTGGCTAGGCTGGTTTTTTTTTTTTTTTTTTTTTTTTTGGTCCATCTTGTGACGTTTCTTGGCTTTTGGCAAAACGTTGGCTGACGTCTGGATGGATTGAGGATTCTGATGATTCTGTGCTTCCGACTGGCTCACGTCCTCCCGAGGCACTGGAAGCAGATAGCGATGGATCCTAGCGGAGGTAAAGCAAGTGTGTTTCTTGTGGCTGATTTCACACCAAGCGTCTTGCCGGTTGCGGGGCTTGGTGCACTTGCAAAACTGGTAGATCTTCTCCTCTGTGTGTGATTTGTCCTGGGACTAGAATTGTGCACTTGCAGCAGTTCTGCGTGCGCTGCGATCTTTCGCTGGAAATTTTGGACGTGGTGGAGGGAGAACTGCACCTCCGATTCCCTTCCTAGGGGGAGCATTGGACAGATGCCGGGTTTCTTGTGGCTGATTGCACACCTAGGAAGGGAATCGGAGGTGCCGTTCTCCTCTGCGCCTTCTTGCCGGTTATGACTTGTAGAGCCTGAAAAACTTGTAGAGCTTCTCCTCTCTGTGTGATTTGTCCTGGGACTAGAATCGAGGACGTGCAGCATTTGTGCCTGCATGGCGATCTTTCGCAGCACTGGTGCCTGGATTGGACATATGCCTTCATTTTGCTGGGTTCGACAGCTCCCGGAAATCAGACTTGAACCCCTCTCACTTGTGTGGAGGAAAAACTGAGAGGGGCAATCTTGTGGACACTGGGGACTACTTCCGTGATCAGCCAGCGTCCAGTCATCCTTGCGTTGCACAAACGGTCTGGTAGTCCGTAAAGAGATTCTTCTTCAGGAACGAAGAATCCTATCCGGAGGAACAATTGCACACGGCGCCAGAGAGAGATTCTATCCGGAAGAAGAATCTCTTTACAGACAATTTTAAACCACCAGTACCTTCTTCTCTCCGTTCTCTGTATCACCACAAGTTCAACATGTCCCAAATGAGACAACTTGGATTGTGTCCCATAACTGACTGATGGATGGCAATTTGACAAAGGAGCAACCTGAAAGTCGCCTCAGGCTGATGAGCATTGCACCCTCTGTCAGTCACTTCATGCAGCATTTGAGGCATCCCATCATTCTGAATATTCTTAAACCGCCAGAGCACACGGCCCCAGCCTTGCAAGATTTGAAGACTTCTTTATGGCCCAATCCAAAAAAATCAGAGGCTTGGGAATTGTGGGCCACGATGGCCTGTGGAGCCAGCTAGAAAAGAAAAAAGTGGTGCCACTGGCGGTTCGGCAAAGATTGGTGTGCAGTGCGGCGCCTCAAGCCCCAGGTGTCCTGGTGGCTTAAGCCAGAGATCAACTGAGAGCGCAGGAGCTTTGCGGCATAGTCAGGCACCGCGAGTGCAAACAGAGGTAGAGAGAGAAACAGATTTGAAAACGTAAGGGGAGGTTGGGCAACAGAGATTAAGAAAGATTAAGCAAACACAAATCCATACATAAGCATGCATGCACACACACACACACACACACACACACACAGAGAGAGAGAGAGAGAGAGAGAGAGAGAGAGAGAGAGAGAGAGAGAGAGAGAGAGAGAGA